TCAAAATCAACGCCTGGATGCGCGACTGGAAGCATTTGAAAACCGTCAAAATCAACGACTGGAAGCATTTGAAAACCGTCAAAATCAACGCCTGGATGCGCGACTGGAAGCATTTGAAAACCGTCAAAATCAACGGACGGACGCAATAATAGAAAGCCTTCATAGTATCAATCAAAAACTGAACAGGCAGGAGTATCGATATCATAGAATGAACAACATACAGATGAGATCCTTGGGGAAATCCATCGATGTCGTTCCATATTTAAACGGCCAAGAACCAGACTTTGATCTGCCGCAGATTCATTCAATTGAGGATATCGAGAACTTGACAAAAGATCAATGTACTCGTTATCTTGACGGCTATGGAATTCGGTATGGGCCGAATGAGACGATAAAATTAAAGGAGCGTCTTCGTAATGCCGTCGGATTAGAGTCCTTAGGAGATAACGAGTTTCCTTTATCCGGGTTTCGTTGACTTCGGAGGTGCTTCTCAAGCATATTGAGTCATATTCATTAAATGACTGTTTATTCGCATGAACGATTACTTTATGGTATATTTATTTTCCTTTTTTCCCTGGCATGAAGAACTTTTTTTATTCTATCGCCTACATTACGCCAAAGTAAAGATCCTTAGAACAATGAGCGTATAAGATCGATCAGTTACTCTTGGAAACTTTGAACTTACAAGTTTTTTCTCTTAATTGAGTTATTATATATTTCTAAAATTGTTCCCTTATATTTATTGTCTTCCGTGAGGATTCTGCTGTTTGAACTAATACATTCGTTTTATAATGTCCTCGTCATTAATCTGCTGGACGATGCTTCGAATAGATCTCTCCTAATTATTTGCAACTAATTCAAAAATGTATAATTAATAGATTACCATTTTATTTGCAAGAGATTGAAAAGGTGTAGTAAAAATATAGCTTCTGGAAGACAAAGTAAGCAGTTATAGCGTTTTACTACACAAGAAACGGCGTCGGTAAGGCGATGCAAAAAAATTAACTTAAGCTATGGATTTTGTCCTTGAATAATTTCAAGGAACAGGTTTACTATGATTTCTAACTTTGATTCAAAAGCTTTAATTTAATATTCAAGTTTAAAAGAATCATATACGTTGGTTAGTCTGAGAAAGCTAGATAATCTATAAATCTGTTAGTTGAAGTCTTCAAATTGGAAGATTCGACTGGTGTGATTAAATAAGACAGTTTCGACCATTTTATTTAACGACATCTTCAGAAATACTAGCAGATATACATGTAGTCTTACAAAATATAATGTCAGTAAACAGCTTTAGCACTTTTCAGTTATGAATTTCCATTCAATATATATTCTTAGATTGTGAGTTAAAATTATGACACATTCAACTAGTAATTCTGTTGAAATAATACATATAAGCAATAATAAAGGAACTGTACTTTTAATTCCCCATTAAAATAAACGATAGGTGATTAACAATACCGTGAAAAAAAAGACATGTAAAAAATGAATGAAAATAAATTAATAAAACCATGTTGATGGAGGCCTTTTGTAATGCTTCCACATACATTGAGTGTATAAATCATTGAATCTGTAAGTACAAGAAAATTCACAGCCTTGCAGTTAAGCGTCTGAGGGTCTAGTCTCGTTAGTACTAACTATAGTTGGAGACAACATGGGAATCCGGGGTGCTGTAGGCTCCTCCTTTTTACTGCTCTTTTTAACGTTTTGTCTGATAATTTTTTTAGTGGTTCCCATTCATCATAATTGAGCTTCTTATCGCCATACTTTCTCACTTATACAAAAAAAACATACCTCTGCAACGTTCTTTTTTATTATAAAAAAAACAAAGAATGAAAAAATAAATTAAATGAATGTGGTAACGTAGCACCAAGGATTTCTCTTTCATTCATTAGGGTGAAATAGACGGGATTTCTGGGAGGAGATATCCTATATTACGATTCCCGCGTACATCCAGAGTGGGAATGGTCCTCTTTGGTACGTAGTAAAGCAAGGGGCTAGGCCAAAGTACCTTCTGCATACCCTCAAGCGAGACTGGTAATGTGGGAGTACCGATGATGTAGACTTAATTGAAGAGGAAGTTTCCAAGGCTGATATTGTCTTTCATTCTGCTGCTAGTGATGAACATGTGCCATCGGCAAGAGCAATCGTGCGAGGCTTGAGTCATCGCCAAGCCAAGGATCCTGCCTGCTATATTCATACTTCTCGTGCATTAACTCTCGCGGAAGAGACTTTATTCACCGGAAATTATGGAGAGTGTTTTGACAAGATTTACGACGATTAGGATCATGTAGAGGAGTTGAACTCAGTCCAGATCATCCATCGCAAGGTAGATAAAGTTGCCATTGTCGTTCCGGCTGTCATTTGTATAGGTCGGGGACCGGATAAGAAGAACTCGTTTCCGTTATTTAGTTATTTTTCAAAGACAGAAAGGTGGTTGGAAAAGGTGATAACATTTGGCATAATATCCATGTGCACGATTTAAACAAGCTCTATTTGCTATTAGCCGAATCTATCGTGAACGGTGACGGACGCGCCACCTGTAATTGAAAAGGGATATTACCTAACAGAAAATAGTTTTTATGTGAATCGAGAAATGCTGCAGTTGGCTGCGAAGACCTCATACAAGAAAGGCTTTATTCCGCCGCCAGGTATTGAATACATGACTACAGATGAAAGTGAAAGGAGGCTTCTAGGCTGGGAACCCAACATGCCAAGCTTTAAAGATGGGCTCGAGAATGCTTTGGATACGGACGCACGGCAATTGGACCTCGTCTAGAATGTTATAAAAACCTTGATATAAAACCATCCTAAATCTACACAGATCTGGGATTCCATACTTCTTCGTGATCGTCTCTACCTAATCTTAACATTCAGGGGCCTGCTATTGTGCAACTATCTTTTGCAGGCTTTTCTCTTACCTTTATTCTTTCCTTTTTATTGAAGATATATGGCTGTCGTTTTGAAAGGCATGGACCTTTGACTAAGGTGATACTAAAGCGGCAGCCAAAAAATAAGTGGTTTTCCTTGAATCAATAATTAAATTCTTATTAGCTCTATTAAACAAATTAAAAAGAATCAGGAATTAAGAGTATTAGAAGAATAAATAACAACCAACATGTGAATTAAAAAGAACCAACTAGAGAGTCAACAATCCATATCATCCCGCGACGACCTCACTTGTTCATTGCTCAAAGCCGCAAAGCCACGATGAAACCAATAGGGCTTCAACAACAACGGCCTATGAAATGTGTTTATATGCAAAAGCTCGATAAAAATAAATACAACGGGAAACGAAGGAAACAAAATAAAACATTAAAAGAAAACACAAGCCTGCATAGAGAATATATGAAAAGACAGGACATCATCATAAGAATGGTCAAGCATGAGATTCGTTTCCAGTGCTTTCAGCATCCCTAGCCTGACTCGGTTTGTGACGTGTCCTTGAATGTTGCTCAAAACATTCAGATGATGGTTGTCCGGCAGTATTATCACTACGATTGTTGGATTGATT